ACTTAAATTGAGAGAGTTTAGTGATTTCCTCATTTCTTGTAAGAATGCTATGCCTCACGTCCAAGGCCTCAAGGTTTTAGATGATTGTGAAGAAAATCAAAAAATATTGCTGAAACTTCCTGACTGGGCCACAACCCGCTGGAATCGTTATGTCACAAAATTACTGGATGAAGAAAAGGCATATCCAGGGTTTGCAGAATTTGCAGACTTTGTGGCTGAAGAGGCGCGTATAGCATGTAATCCAGTTTCTTCTCTGTTTGCCTTAAAAAACACATTTGAAAAACCTGAGAAAGAACAAAAACGTCTGAAGGCCAGTGTCCTGGTGACATCAGCAAATGGGTCTAAAGATGTGAAGAACACAACTACAGTTCAGAGCAACAGAAAATCAAAACCCAACCCTTCCTCAACTCAGAACAAACGGCAACTTGAATGTATCTGCTGCAAGCAAAATCATTTTATCTATAAATGTGCAAAGTTTACAGCAATGCCGCTTGAAGAAAAGAAACAGTTTATTAGGGACAACAATATGTGCTTTGCTTGTCTGCGAGTCGGCCACATTTCCAAAAACTGTCGACAGAGAGCAACATGTAATGTCTGCAGACGAAGCCACCCTTCTCCTCTCCATGAAGATCCTCCACTGGGAGATGAACCTGAACCACCATCAGAAGAGGAGAATGCAGCCACCGTATCGTGCAGTGTGAGAGTGGGCAACAATGATTGCACTTCAATGATCGTTCCAGTGTGGCTTTCTTCATCAGCGAAGAATCAAGAGACATTGGTTTATGCTCTGCTAGACACCCAAAGCAGCAACACATTTATTGACCAAGATATTTGTGAAAAGATACAGGCAAGCAGGGAACCAGTGAAGCTAAAGCTGACAACAATGACTGACAGGGGTTCGATTGTACCTAGTCAAAGAGTGGATGGACTGAGGGTAAGAGGGTACAACTCAGAAAAGTACATTGACTTGCCACCAACCTACACTCAAGAGTACATTCCATTGGAGAAACACACTATTCCAACTCGAGAGACAGCAAAAAAGTGGCCCCATCTACTTAGCATTGCAAATGAAATGCCAGATCTCTTGGACTGTCCTATAGCTCTTCTCATCGGTTACGACTGTGCAAGAGCGCTAAAGCCAAGGGAAGTCATACCAGGAAAGGATTATGATCCCTATGCAATAAAAACAGACTTAGGGTGGAGTATCGTGGGAGCCATTAAGCCATGGAAAAGTTCGATGGGAGCAGCAGGGATCTGTCATCGTGTCACAGTAAAGGAGCTGCCATCTGTCACGCCTGCTTCTGTGATTAAAGCACTTGAAAATGACTTTCTGGACACAAACCATAAAGAAGGGAGTGTATCTCAAGAGGACATTCAGTTTCTAGAGATGCTGAATGAGAACATTCACTACAATGAGGAAGGCCATTTAGAAATGCCTCTGCCTTTTAGAGAACGCCCACAGCTTCCAAATAACAAGCAGCTTGCAATGTTTCGCTTGAAACGTTTAAAAGGAAAAATGGATAAGAACCCAAAGTACAAGGAAGACTACATCAAGTTCATGAATAGTGTCTTTAAAGATGGTGATGCAGAGGAAGCAGATGGCACATCAGGTAGTAACACATGGTACATTCCGCACCATGGCGTGTATCATCCCAGGAAGCCAGAGAAAATTCGAGTTGTTTTCGACTGCTCTGCTAAACACGAAGGCATCTCTTTAAATGACCACCTACTCACAGGCCCAGACTTGATTAATGCTCTGGCAGGGGTTTTGTGCAGATTTCGAGAGCATCAAATAGCAATTATGTGTGATGTGGAAAAAATGTTTCATCGCTTCCATGTCAACCCAGAGGATCGAGACTTCTTAAGGTTTCTGTGGTGGAAGGACGGGAATACAGATACTGAGCCTAAGGAGTATCGCATGCGAGTGCACATTTTTGGAGCGGCATCATCACCGGGATGTGCTAACTATGGCATGAAGTATCTCGCCAGGGAACAAAAAAAGGACTATCCACTGGCAGCCAGATTCATTCACAAAAACTTTTATGTGGATGACGGGCTAATCAGCATTGATTCAGTCAGGGAAGCCAAGCAGCTGGTCTGTGAAGCACAAGAGGTCTGTGCAAAAGGGAAACTGCGCTTGCACAAATTTGCATGCAACAACAAGGAGGTCATGAGCATTATCCCAGAAACAGAACGAGCCAGCAAGACCAAAGATGTAAACCTGAACTACTCTGTAATTCAAATGCAAAGTGTGCTGGGAGTAAAGTGGAACATAGAGGCTGACGTGTTCTCATTCAGTGTAGCCCTCAAAGAAAGGCCAGCCACACGCCGAGGAATTCTAGCAACAGTTGCTAGTGTGTATGACCCGTTAGGATTTCTCTCACCCTACATTTTGATAGGAAAATAAGTACTCCAGGAAATGTGCAAACGCGGAGTGGGATGGGATGATCCTATTCCCCCGGCACTAGAGACCAAATGGAAAGCATGGTTCGGTGACTTGGAGAATTTAAAAAGGATTGAAATACCAAGATGCCTTGTTCCTGAGAACTTCGGCAAGGTCAAAAAAATTGAGCTGCATCATTTTTCGGATGCCAGCAGAAGTGGCTATGGACAATGTTCATACATCAGGATTGTTGCTGATAAGAACGTGCATTGTGCACTGGTCATGGGTAAAGCCAGAGTGGCACCCATAAGAATAATCACTATCCCACGCCTTGAGCTCACTGCAGCTGCAGTTTCTGCAGCTGTAAGTAACTTCCTCAGGTCAGAGCTCGAGCGGAAAATTGACGGGGAGTTTTTCTGGAACGATTCTAAAGTGACGCTTGGATACATAAAAAATGATGCTCGTGGGTTTCATGTCTTTGTGGCAAATCGAGTTCAGAAAATAAGAGACTCTACTGATCCGAAGCAATGGTTTTACATTGAATCTGATCAAAATCCAGCTGATCACGCGTCTAGGGGCCTCAAGGTGGCAGATCTGCTAAGCTCGAATTGGCTCACTGGACCTAAATTCCTATGGGAAAGGGAAATTGTCACAAACCAACATTCCCCTGATCTTCTTGTTGGGGACCCAGAAGTAAAGGTCCTGAAGACAAATGCCCTTGAAGAAAACAGCTTTCTTGAGAGGTTCTCAAGATTTTCCAATTTGGATACAGCTCTTAACATTGTGGCAAGAATTAAAAGATTTGCAAGGAGAGATAACTCAGGACCCATTAGTGTAAAAGAAAGACAAATGGCTGCTTTTGTACTCCTCCAGGCAGCACAGAGGGAAGCCTTTAAAGAAGAGCTCAAATGGTTCAGTCAAAACTCAGCTGGACTACCAAAAACTCATAAAATGTATCAACTTGATCCTATTTTGGTAGACAACTTGCTTAGGGTTGGAGGAAGGTTGAGAAAATCCTCAGCATCATTTGCATTGAAGCATCCAGTAATCCTTCCAAAGGAAGGCATTGTCAAACAACTCGTTCTTGACCACTGTCACAAGAAAATGCAACACCAAGGCCGAGGCCAAACTCTGAACAAACTCAGGGAAAGTGGCTATTGGATCATAGGTGGCAGTAAGGTAGTGGCCAAATACATTAAAGGGTTTGTCAATTGTAGAAAAGTGCGTGGGCCAGCTGAAGAACAACGCATGGCTGACTTGCCATTTGACAGAGTGGATCCTTTGCCCCCATTCACCTACACTGGAGTTGATGTTTTCGGCCTCTTCTATACAAAACAAGGTCGAAAGGAATGGAAGAGGTATGGCCTATTGTTTACGTGTTTGAGCTCGAGAGCCGCACACATTGAGATGTTGGAGGATCTCTCCACTGACGCATTTATAAACGCTTTAAGATGCTTCATAGCAATCAGAGGCACAGTCAGACAGATTCGTTCTGACCAAGGGACAAATTTTGTCGGAGCTAAGAACGAGTTCAAGAAGGGTCTGTTGGAATTAGACAAGGAGATGATTTCTACTTATCTAGCTAAAAACCAGTGTGACTTTCAGATGAATGTTCCTGAAGCTAGTCACAGAGGAGGCATTTGGGAACGACAGATCCGCACTGTTAGGAATGTCATGAGTTCTGTCCTAGCCCAAGCCACAGGGAGGTTAGATGACACCTCATTGAGAACTTTCTTCTACGAGGCCATGTCAATTTTGAACCATTGTCCACTCACTACTGATACAATCAACGACCCCAACAGTGCTGAGCCTTTGACGTCTAATCATTTGCTCACAATGAAAGAGTCTGTGCCACTTCCGCCTCCTGGTAGATTTGTAAGAGAAGATTTGTACGCCAGGAAGAGGTGGCGGAGGGTGCAATATTTAACAGAGTTGTTCTGGAGCAGGTGGCGCAAGGAATACCTAACCAGCATTAGTTTAAGACAACGATGGCATACTCCTAAACAAAATGTACAGGTTGGAGATGTAGTGATTTTAAAAGAGGACAATATTCCAAGAAATGAGTGGAAATTGGCAAGGGTGGTTGAAGCCAATGAAGATGATGATGGTTTAGTGCGGAAGGTTAAGATCCAAATAGGGCAAAAGGATCTGGGAAAGAAAGGTGAACGTTTGAAACAAGTCTCTTTTCTTGAGAGACCAGTTCAGAAACTAGTGGTACTAGTTAAAGGGTCTAAACTACAGTGAAGTAGTACAAGGGTTAAGAACACAAACATAATATGTGATCTATAAGTTTATTTAAGAAGTGTTTTTTTTTTTGTAACATAAGTTGGTGTTTGATTGTCAATTTATTAAAAATTACAGGATTTAATTTTGTTTAACACATGTAAATAGAAATCCTTTGTAATTTTGGTGGCAGTGTAGCCGTCGCATTGAAATGTAATTATTATGTGATTGCAATGTTCAAAATTTGGTGTTTAATCTGGATTCATGTTGTGTTGTCGCCACCTACTGGTGGGCCTGAGTGTGGCGCTTTGTAGTGCGCATGCTTTGGGGTGATGCTCAATTAAGCGCACAGTGTCACCAGAGACTGAAGGCTCGAGCCAGAAAGAGAATGCTGCCTGTGTAAAGGGTGGAAATATAGAAGATATGGACTACAATTGCTCATGAATGTTCAGTAGAAAGGCGCACACGGTATGTTGGTGCATTTACTTTGTGTGTATGTTTTATTTGAGTTGTAATTTTTGTTCTGCTGATGTAATATCCGTGTTTTTCATTGATCATTTCACCATAGTTTTTCACGGTGTTTGCTGGTGAAAAGAAGATTAAAATACTGGCTGAACATCAGTTGGAGCATGGCCCTTTATTCTACTTCGAACATGAAAAACCTTCAGGAGCAGTTACACTTCCTCCTGTGGTAACATGCGGCTACTTCACAACAGCCAATCTGCTCGATTAGATGTTAGAAAAGAGATGGAAATGTCAGCTGTAACTGCAGCCGGCAACAACTAGTCCTCTGTTTCTCCATCGTAAACACTTGTGGATAGGGAAATTGGTTTCCCTCTTTACTCCCAGCTCAGGTGTAGACTTGCAGATTAAATTGGTGGAAGGGTGTGGGTGAGCCCAGCAACAGTGGAGTTCTCATGTATGAAAATGGTCCCCATCATACTCCTTGACAGAGCCTTTGTTATGCTAATGTTTCGAAAATTATGATGTTCAGAAAATCCGGGCTTTTCCTGTTCCCATTTATTGCCTTTCTCTATTCTATATTTACCTCCTATTGTTATTCTTATCAGACTTGTCATCTTTGACAAGCAGCCCAAAAGGAATCTGCTCGCACACATGCACACCAATGCACAGAAACATACAACTACATACTCATAAACTGTAAAGGAAAGCTGAAACGAGCGTCTTTCGTGGATCACGACGGCTCTGAACTCATACTTTTGTACAGACATTTCGGATTGATTGCAGTTACCTTCTGTATTTTTTGGACACTCGTGCACACATAAGCCTAACATAACAAAATAATCATATACAAATTGACCAGAAGTTTGCATACTGCTAAGCCTGGGCACAATCCCTCATGAATAATGGAGTCACATATGAAAGACAGAAGAAGACTGAGCAGAGCCACTCGGTGAGAGGACAGATTTGAGTGTGACACTGAAACTCTTCCAGTATTTTCGTTCCAAAACCATGGATGTTGTAGTTGCTGTGAAAAGGTGCTTGTAATGCTGCCGTCACTGTATTTTCAGTGCTTATTGTTTGCACTCTCTAGTTTACTTGATTATGTTTGATTAATCCTGTGTGTTTCAGTGCTACCTTCTGTGTCTGTTGCCATGGTTTGCTGAATTGCAGTGCATGAGAGCTTTAAACTGTATATAACACATAGATGTGGACACTATGATGTCACCTATATTTTGTTTGTTAACTTTTGAAGCCTGTGGTTGTTGATTTTTCAGAGCTAGAAGTCACCACGTTTTGCTGACAGAGTGCATGTGAAGTTTTCAGCAAACTTGGTTAGTGCTTTCCATCCACAGACTGGAAGAGTGTGTCAGATGAGTGTAATAAACATGCTCCAAAATGAACCAACACTACAAACACTGCAGAGAGGCCCAGACTTGAATTACTGGAGGTAAAGCCTAGCTGACAACTATCAGGGGCCTGTGTCAGCATCCACCTGTCAGTCAAAGCAGTCAGACCCAGATAATCCATAACTTTAAGCCTTAGTTTCAACAGATGCATTTAAATTAAGGTTCCACCAAACCATTTTTTCCTAAAACAGGCTATAAACCTGTTTATTTATTTTAATGTGGGAATCTATGGGGATTTCGTTTAGAGTCAGCCTCAAGTGGCCATTCAAATAATGTCGTTTTTGGCATTTCTGTCTTGGCTTTATTTTTCAGCCCCAGAGGTTAACAAAATGCTTTGATCAGTGTAATGTATGCCTTAGTAGCTTCATTTGTGAGCGGGACCTTAAATATTTCTGGGGGCCCTGAGAGGCAGCAGCGTTTCTGGTGTGACTTAATAGTCACACAAAGCACACATAGCAGTGTCTGTGTTCTTATCAATGCTAGAACCAGGTTAAAGTAAAACAAATTTCCTGCACGCAGTCCAGTATAAATATTTTTCTGGTTAAAATGACTCCACAGAGATAAGCACAGAATGTGAAGGCAAAAGCACAGAAGACATTCTTGCAGGGAACAGAGTGAAAGTGGCTGTGCACTGATTAGGGAAATGATGGGCAAATGTGTACTGTTGGCACGAGTAGATGAGGGGGCTGGGGAACATTGGGAAAAACTCAGGACAGCTGCTTGAGGGTGAGGAAATGGCATGGTCTGGAACTACCAGAAGGACAAGAAGTAAGTAAAATCACAAAATATTAGCCTAGTACTTTCTCCTTTTCATAGATCAGCATTAGAGAAGGTATTAAACTGTCAAAAGGTGACTATAATTAGACTGGCATTAACAATTGTGAAAAAGGAAACACAACCTTCTACATATCAGCACATAAAAAATTCACCTGGTTCTCACCAGATCTTAAAATTGGGTAAGTACAGCCTCAGATGAACAGCAACAAATCACGCTGTCATTATTTATTTAACAAAAAATGCAGAAGCAATGAGGAAAAAACTACAGAGCCCGTGACTCTGTAGCTTGCAGAAGCAGCTTTAGCAGTACAACCTAAACTAAAGTAATCACTTTCAGGGACATTTATTTATGCACAGCGCTCTCAAAGCCCCAACATAGCATTTCGTTGAGGTTTAATTCAGCCATTGCAAAACCTTGATGTAGATTTACTGCTGTGCTCGGGATCATCCTGTTCCATGACACAGTTTTGGCCAAGCTTTAGCTGTCGGACAGCGGACCCACATTTTACTTTAGAACCCTTTGACATCATGGTTGACCCGTCGACTGCAAAGTTCTCAGGTCCTGTGGCTGTGAAACAATCTCAGATCATCCTCCCTCCATCACTGTAGTTAACAGTTGGTGTGAGGTGTTTGTGCTGATATTGTGTAATTGGATTTTTGCCAAACATGGTGCGGTGCATTATGGCCAAGCATCTCCACTTTGGTCTCGTCTGTCCAAAGGACATTGTTTCTGAAGTCTTGTGGTTTTCTCAGATGCAGCTCTGCAGCTGCTGCCATGTTCTTTTTCGAGAGAACAGCGTCTCCTGCCAACACTTCCAAACAACAGATTTTTTTTTCACATTTTTCTCCAGTTGTCAAGAATTTTAACATCTAACTAACTGAGGCTCGTCTGAGAAGCAGCTCTTGTTTTGTTTTTGTTTATATCTTTGCAGTTTCTTTGAGCATTGCATGGTCAGACATTGGGGGTGAACTTTTTCCACTTGCAAATAATCTTTTTCACTCTAAATGATAGGTATACAATTATTTTGAAATGGCCCTGTCTCAGATGTCTTTCCTCCTTTACTATTGTATTAACACATACCTTCATTTTGCAAATCTGCAAACATAATTAAATGGCATTACTGTTTATCTTAGTAGGCACTCATAAAACTACACATAACTACACAAATATTGGGGAAATCAGTTTATGTTTTATTTGTCTGGGAAAAAAATATCTGCCCATAAATCAAATTTTATATGTCTTTAAAATCCTGTATCAGTTGGGCAAACACTGTTTCTGCGTTTGGTTTAGTTTTTTTGTTTAACAGATAATAACAATTTAATATGTGATGTGATGTTGTTCACCTGAGGATGTATTTACCTAATTTTAAGACATGCAATGGACCTGATGTTTTGTATTGTGTCCTGATCCTTAAAACCTTTAAACTGCAGTAGGGTCTCAAGGACACTTATATGTGTGGATTGAAATGATAGAGAAGTCTTCCAATTTATAGATAATCCATTCTACTTCCTGTGCAACAGTTCTCTGACTGTCACTGATGAATTATTAGAATTATAAGCTACTTTTCATAATCTAAAGGGGTTTGCACTGGTAAAAAAAAAAAAAGTTGTAAGCTGTTTGACCAGTAACCATCAAATCACAGTGTCTCGAGCCGTGTCTATTGCTCTTTACTTTGTATGTGTTTGTGAAGGAAAGATGGCGAGATCATTGCGTCATCATGTGTATGAGGTGGAGCAGTGAAAAAAGGGCAGGGATAATAAGGGATAATCACAGCTTTATCCTGTCACTGCCAGTCATACTTGGTTGAGGTCTGAAAAATGAAGACAGAAGGGCTCATGCTGATACGCCTGACCAGCTATCTGCTCCCATTGTGATAGCCTGTAAGACATGGTCTAACCCGCAGATGAGAACCCTAATCCCCCAATATACTCGCACTCTGGTAGATTAGCTGCAAGGTCTCTTCCCACACTGAGCCAGGATCCCTCAGTTTCTTCTTAAGAGGACACAGATGGAAGGAAACTTATATGGGGAGAAGATTATGAGTATATGGAAAGAGAAATAAATAGAAAAAACAGAGACAAAGCAGGAAGAGGACAGGGAGGGGGAGACTCAAAGAACGAGAGAGATGAAAATGCAAAAGGAACAATAGAGAAAATGGGAAAGGAAGAATATTGGGGTCATAGTTAAAATCTTAGAGGATTGAGAGAAGGCAAGAAAGGACTTTTTTTATTTATATCAAAGAAAAACAGTGAAAAAGAGAGATGCTTCTGGTAGCCTACTTTCTCCTCCACAAAGACCTGAGAAAGCCGGCCTATAAAAATAAAAACAGTAAAAGCAGAGCTAGAGATACAGAGAAGGATGGAGAGAGTGTGGGTGATGATGAAGCTAAATTGTCATGGTTACCATTGCTAGTCTGTGCGAAGGCTGGCCGTGTATCTGCGTGCGTGTGTGTTTAAAGTAGAGCACTGGGCTTGCAGTGTCAACAGATGTCATGTGATATTTGCAGAAGCCTTATGTAGATTGAGTGTAATCCTTATGAAGGCTTTTTTCTTTCAATTTGCTTCTTTCCACATTAACCAACGAAGAGCCGTTTTCAGCATTACATCATTTTTAAACTGTGGATAATTGTAAAGGACATCTATCAAGACACGCGTTATAGACACAAACCGTAAATACATAGAGCAGGAATGTAGCACTGCATCAAATGTGAGTCACTCTGAGCATTTCACGGTGTAAATGGATAGCTAAATTTACTGTTTTCTCACGATGTGCCCGAGGTGTTAGCGAAGAAAAGTCCTCGCAAATCTGGAACAAAAAAAAAAAGGGAAGGAATGGATGCATCGGTTTACATTTTCACACTCTGCCTCAAGCTTTACATGCTTTTTATACGTCGTGACGTCAAACCAACATTTAATGCTGCATCACTGATTCCTGATTGTTGTTACTCACAGTGCATCCTGCGAACGAGTGTG